AGAGAGAGAGAGAGAGAGAGAGAGAGAGAGAGTGTATTTGTGCATGTCTAACAAAAGAAAGAAAAGACTTTTGTTAACGACCTGTGGAATTGTGTGAGAACCGCATTGATGGGCCTCTTACGTAAGAATCATGCAGACATGTCTCTCTCTCATAGCAAATATAAAAGATCTGTCAGATATTAAGCAATGCTTCACCATCAATTTGATTAGAAGGTGGCAATTCTTCTCTAAATGAGTGATTTAATACAGGGATTCGGGTAGGGGCTCACTAGGGTCCCAAGCCAGAATCAGGTCTTGCAGATTGGCCAGAGACTCTACTAAGTCCTAAAATAATAATAATAACATATTACAAATTTGCCTGATGGGTTTGATTCCGGATCAGCAGCCTACCCATTTTGAGTAACTCAAGCGAGTCCGAGGGGTACTCCCTGAGTATGATGCAGTCTGCACTAAGCACACTAGATGTGATTGTATTCATGTCCAGATTCCAGACCTATGTGATTAATTGTATTAATCCTTTGACAAATGATTGCAGGTACCTCTTTTGCTGTTCTTATTCACACAATGTAGCCCCTAAAGGAAAGTATATAGCTTTTGTCTCGACTGAAGCCGAGACAGACGAGCCTGAGGTAGAACTGAAGCCTGGAATTGATCTGCTTGGACCAGTGGATGAAAAGTTCTTTGATATATACGATAGATATGAGCCCACTAACAAGCATGATGGGGACAACTGCTTCATATCCACTGTAAGTTGTTTTTGTTGTTATAGCTCTAGTTTTATTTTTTTCATTGTTGATTTTTTTCTTAGTATTTAACTTTTCAACAGGTGTTTGTTATTAATCTTAGATATTCTTTTTTCGTTTTTTACAAAATCTTTTACAGAGCTATGATGCTTCAACACATTTTGAGTCAACTGTGGAGGATGTGCTCGCCATGTACAGTAAAATTACTGGAAAGGTAGCTGTCCATTTAATTCATGTGAAGAAAAATTAGGAAAATGTCATTGCATTCGTGAGTTTCAAATTTTTGAAATAAAAGCATTTACACATGAGAGAGAGAGAGAGAGAGTTGGCTTTAAGGTGTTCTCAAAGCTAAGTTTAATGAGAACAGAGAGAGAATGTTGGCTTTAAGGTTCTCAAAGCTAAGCTTAATGAGACTTTCTCAACTGTTACGCTAACATCCGACAACCAAGTCTTATCCATAAATAGAAGTGCGAATCTTTCAAGAACAATGAAAGCAGCAAACCCCTTAACTCTTGTGAGTAACAACAAAGAACACAAGATTCAACTTGAGAGTAGAGCCTGTATTTTGTCTGAAAATGAACACAAGGTTCAGAAAGAGCTCACAGCTCGAACTTTGAACTATGAACTCAAGTTTCAAAAGGAACCAAGAGCTCAAAACTTTTCTAAAAGTGACAAATAGTATCTATGCATTAATAGATGGACCCAGATGTACGAGATGCTCTCGCTGTCTTTGAGGTATTAAATGCTCCTGACTTGAAAATCCAATCAACAATAGAGTTTCTTGACGAGTTTGACACCACCAAGCCCAGTGAACCATTGTAAGTCTGATTTGCATGCCCAAAGTAACTTGTGGCGAACATGACACTGTATTGATTTGACCTCGATGTTTGGTTTGGGTTTGGACTTGACATTGAACTCAAAATGAATAGATGGCTTGGAGATTTTGGTGGAGAAAAGTGGTTTCAAAGTTAACACCAACTAGAGTAGAGTAGGAAAAACATCAGAACTGTTTCCAACTCTAAAAGGGGGGGGGGGGGCAGACAGACAGTAGACATGGCATCACTGTTTGGGCAGTGACGAGAAAGAAAGCTTAATGCTGGTGAAAAGTCGCCTTAGCCTTGGTATCATGTAAGGGGCATAATGCTAGTGAGAAGCCGAGCGGCTTAACTACCTATGGAAACATGCTTAACATCAATGAAAGAGTTTGATCAGCCAATTTAAAGCATCTTGGCCCAAAAATCAATCCCACCTTGATTAACTTGACTATGATCACGACACAGCCTTAACTTGACCTTGCCTGCTGCACCTAGGCACAATTATGAGAGTTTATGAGAAACACAGTAAAGTACCCAATTCTCTCTCTCGCGCACCGAGTCAACTAAAGTTGTTTTGAAACACCCATGAAAAGAGCATGTTAAAATTCAAGAATTATGGTTCCTCTCTCCATTGTTTTCATTACATAGAGCATAAGTACCATAATAGGTAAATGTTTAGCTAAACTAGAAGAATTGATGGGTCTTCAAATATTTATGTGAGCTAATCTTTTTTAATCACTGTAATTCTTTCCAGGTCCTTGATCTTACAGTGGACCTGAGTGGTGCTAGTGCATCTGGTGAAGAATCTGAAGCATAACAACCTTCAAACTGGAGTGCTTTATTACACAAGAATATTGAGGGACTACAATTTTTTGTTGGAATTCTTTAATTCTTTCTGGCTGTTACCTAAGTTTGGCCACCACGAGGGTTACTTCGTTCTTATATTCATGAGTTTTAGGGAGACTATTCTAAATGATTTGAACTCTACTAAATTAATGTTAAGTAGTGACTTGCCTTGAGTTTCTAGTCTGCTGGGCAAATTCACAAAACTAGTATCAGGTATGGACTTTGTTTACTGAGCTCTATCATTTTTATTTGCTAAGTATTATATCTTCTTCTGGTATTCTGTGTATGCTAGAGAGGGAGAGAGTTGCAGTTAGTGAGAGAGATACCTTGGGATTTGAGAACATTAAGGGTGCAGAAAAAGCAAGTTAAAAAGAGTTAGTGCAATCAAGATATTAAGGGGGAGGTTTGTTTACTGGAAGTTGTGGCATCCATCACTATGGCGCTTCCCACGTTTGTTTGCAAGAAGTGCAATATTAATTTGGAAACAGCTTCATCCAAATGACGTTGTTTGGGGAAGCTACAGCTTCCATGGCTTATCTTTCATGAGTTACAATGGAAGTTGCGGCTTCTATAACGCATGGAAGATAGGGCTTTGGCAGCCTTGTCTTCCATGATATAAACACCGCTAATAGCGCGTGTTTATGATACCCCTGTATAAGATTGCAACCTTATATAAACTTTATCCTAAAAATGAATATCCTAGCTTTTCAGATTTTTGCTGGAAGCAAAGTAGTTGATACATTTTGCATAGGCCAATAGTGAGTATCACCTAGTGCCATTTGTCAATTTGAAAAGACTACTTTGTGCTATATGCACAAAAAAGAACTCTATAAGGAGTTGTTCCTTTGCCCGACAACCACGGCCTCCATTCTCGCTAATACTTTAAAACAAAATTTATTTTTTCAAAAATAGGCAGGGGCCAATAAACTTTACAGATCTGTTAGTCCCATAAAAAAAATAATAATAATAAAATCGACAAACAACTTACTCGGATATGTCCTTAAATCACACGAGGGACCTAAAGTTCTATATCAAATCCTATAGATCAAGCCATCTGGTGACATGCAACCTTGATAGTCTTCATGCAACCTTGATAGTCTTCTTTGATGAATCACATTCACATCTTTTTTATTATTCTCTATCTTTTCTAGAGGGATTAACCTCCTTTTATAGAGAACATCTTTAGTTAGTAACTCTCACATTCATGGCCTATAGGAGTTGAGATCCAAGTGTAACTCCTACCTTAATTCCCTTAAGTACAGTTAATTAGGATTAACAAGTTGTCACCAAACTATTAATCCTATGTATTGAGTTAAACCTGTTATTAGTCCACTAATGACTCATATAATAGGATGTCATCCAAGCATTCCCACAATTTAATAAAAGATATTTATAAATTAAATAAACTTTATGTATCTACAATATAAAAACAAATTCTTACAAGGAATCCAATTCCAAACACACCATTGAGTTTTCCCTCTACTGACACTGGATTTTCCCTCCAGTGCAACATCCTCTTAAAGCTAAAAAATGGATCAATGTATGTAGCATTGCCTCATGTTAACAGCATGGGATTTCACATATAATTCAATATGACGTTTGTAACATTATTGAAAAAATGAATTTCTAGGAGAAAAATGGCCTAATAGGCTACATTTCCAACAACTCACACTTGGCCTGAAGGCCCTTTAACCTCTTGTAGATGATATGGCCTCATGCATATACTCAACCAGTGTAGTCACACACCACTTTTAAATTTCCTGACCTCCACAGCCTTATATATAACATTGCCTCAGGCTATTTGCATGGGATTTCACATATACCTTACCAGAGTGGTCATACACCACACTTGGATTTCTAGCCTCAATAACCTTATATATGACATTGCCTCATGCTGCCTGCATGATATTTACATATACCTTACCAGAGTGGTCATACACTACACTTTGATTTTCTATCCTCAATAACCTTGTATATGGCATTGTCTCATGCTACTTGCATGAGATTTCACATATACCCTGTCAATATGATCAAACACCACACTTTGATTTCTTGGCCTCAATGGTTTTGTATATGGCATTGCCTCATGCTATATGTATGAGATTTCTCATATATCTTACCAATGTGGTCATATACCACACTTAGATTTTCTGGCCTTAATAACCTTGTATATGGCATTGCCTTAAGCTACTTGCATGGGATTTCACATATACCCTGCTAATGTGGTCAAACACCACACTTGGATTTCTTGACCTCAATAGTTTTATATATGACATTGCGTCATGCTACATGCATGGGATTTTTCATATACTTTACAAAGTATTCACCAAAACATTGAATTTAATTTACATATATCTTTTAGCCAAGAGAAAAAAAGGCATATTGCTTTCACTTGTTTCTTAAACATGTCGTCCACAATTGGTTTTAAGGTCCAAAGTTCAGATTCGGATCATAGGTCAAAATAATAAAAACAATAATAATTTGACAAAGTTGTTGGTATTATTATATACATAAAGAAATCTTTAGGTAGTCTCAACCTTAACAATAACAAAAGAAATAAATATATTATTATATTTCTTTTTGACATGTTCAATAAGTTTCAAATTGATGATGTTATCAAACTATTCAATAATGGCTCCCACTATTATCAATACGTGGTTGTCATCATAATAACAAAAATTAGTCCAATATAGTCTAGCATGATACATCAGTAATTGCTCATTCTTAATGTGCGTTTACAATTATAAAGCTAACAAATTCAATTCCATTTTGGTAAATGATGATTTACTCCCACTATCTAATGAAGAGTAACTTAAATTTCAATAAAAAGGACCGGACATTGATTTGCATTCATTTCATGCTATTAAGATAAAATAGAATGTCAACAAATTTCTAATTTAAGGCAATAAAGAACTTACCACAAAAGCTTTGTAATTGAAACCTACCAAATTCTAATTTAAGGCAATAAAGAACTTGCCACAAATGCTTTATAACGAAACCTGCCAAATTTTAATTTAATGCAATAAAGAACATATCACAAATGCTTTATAATTGAAACCTATCAAATTCTAATTGAACTTACCACCACAAATGCTTTATAATTGAAACCTGCCAAATTTTAATTTAAGGCAATAAAGAACTTATCACAAATGCTTTATAATTGAAACCTGCCAAATTTTAATTTAAAGCAATAAATAACTTACCGTAAATACTTTATAATTGAAATCTATCAAATTCTAATTTAATGCAATAAAGAACTTACCACAAATGCTTTATAATTGAAACCTGTCAAAATCAAATTTAAAGCAATAAAGAACTTGCGACAAATGTTTTATAATTCAAACCTATCAAATTCTAATTTAAGGTAATAAAGAACTTACCACAAATACTTTATAATTGAAAGTTGCAAAATAAAGAACTTACCACAAAAGCTTTACATAACAAACATGTCAAAAGATTCCCACGAAGCATATTTAAGCAAATATGAAGTTCCAACCAGCTGCAAAACACATCCAGAAATCGGACTTGGCTGACCAACAAAGTAAAATGCATCATAACTGGTTTCTACTCCATTTTCTGATGACATAATGGATGGCATTCTTTATTTTTGTAGACTGTTCAGCCATGTAACACTGAAAATACCATCAGCCAGAAACGAGCTCCCATCTGAGCCAAATTCACTAAGTAGATAAGAACTTAATCTCAATTCCTCACAAACTTCGATTGGGCATGATCTCAGCTTGATAGGTGCTTTAGGAGCAAAAGAAACCAATGATCTCTTAACACACCTAAGATCAAATTTCGCCATTGCAAGGCGATAGAAGGCCACAAGCCGTGTTAGTTTCAAAACTCTCTGCACTCTTCAGAGATTTCTTTAGAAGCACCAGCAATTGTTGTTGGGTAGACAAGGAAGAACCCCTACCAATATCACCCCAGGTGAATACGTGGATCCAATCATTCCAGTTGTAGTTGAGACTCCTTTATCAAATAAAAGGTCACAAACAGCGCCATGGAGCATGCAAGGCAGGAATCATCATGATTTCGCTGAGAAATCCATGCCTCCATAGCTTGATTAGGATGACCAAAATGACTATGCATGATGCCCGAGCACAAAAAGGCATGTCTCATATAGCAAATAGTATGCACGACGCAGCTCTGTGACTATCTTCCGAAGCTCCTTTAGGATGGCTTCAAAAGCATTCATTGTAAACAAGTTGGGATGCCTATCAATGAGATTAGCTTTGTCTCTCGGGTGACCTCGCTCTCATACCATTGTTAGACCCAATAAAAATAATAATGAATAAATAAATTAAAAATAAAATCGATGAACAATCTGCCATTAAATCACACAAGGGATCTAAGGTACTATACCGATCTAAGGTACTATACCAAATCCCATATATCAAGCTATCCGGTGACAGGCAATCTTGAGAATCTTTTTCGATGAATCTCATTCACCTCTTTTCTATTATTCTCTATCTTTTTTAGAAGAGTTAACCTCATTTTATAGAGAACACATTTATTTATTAACTGTCACATTCATGGTCTATAGGAGTTGAGATCCAAGTGCAATTCCTACTTTAATTCCCTTAAATACAGCTAATTAAGATCAACAAGTTGTTACCAAACTGTTAATCATATGTAATGTCATTAATCTACTACTGACTCATATAATAGGATGTCATCTAAGCATTCCTACAATTTCATAAAATATATTTATAAATTAAATAAACTTTCTATATCTATAATATAAAAACAAATTTTTACAAGGAATCCAATTCCAAATCCACCACTGGGTTTTCCCTCCAATGCGATATGCTATTGAAGCTAAAAACTGGATCAATGTATATGGCATTGCTTCGTGTTAACCACATAAAATTTCAAATATACTTCAATATGACTTTTGTATCGTTATTGAAAAAATGAATTTTCGAAAGAAAAATGACCCGATAGAATACATTTCCAATAAGATCTACCAAAATAAACAATAAAACTAAATTTATTTATCTCGGATACAAGGAGGTTATGATTACTGGTTGACATTAGATTCAAAATCGGATGGTTGGGAAGATGTCATTTATCAAGCTCAGTTCTGAAGAAAATTTGTGGATCTTTAAGACATCCTAAGCTTAGGATTTGGCATCTGACAGTTTAGAGTGCCTGTGATGATTGAAACGAAGACATTTCACACCAAAAGATTCCCTTGACCAAGCGTTCTACAAGACCGACCATGTGTAGCCGTGGTGGACTGACAGAGCACCTAACATGCCAGGTTTCTATGAAAAAAGAGAGAAAAATGGAAAAAAAAATAAAAAAAAAGGGAAAAAACGTCACTTACATCTTGAGTTTCAAAGAACCTATTCTCAATCGGAGAGTCTTTTTTATTTGAGAGAGTTTATATAGGGTGTCATTCTTGTATTATTGAGATAGAGCACACCTAAAAAATTATTGGAAAAGGTTCTGATGTTAAAAAAAGTCCTCACCATCTTAACCTCAACATCTATGGCCATCTATGGATATGAAAGAAAACAAAGATTTTAAGTTGCGAAAATATAAATATTTTAAGTTGTGAAAATAGTGCATTTTGTAATGTATTATCTGGACCATTGATTTCAAAATTTTTAATTGTTTATTAATCTGCTTGATCTGTCAATTTTTTTGAACCTTAAATTTTATAATTAGGGTAAAAATAGATTTTTCATGATATCGTAACACTTTCCGATACCGAAATTGCATATTTTGACATAGTTTTGAGGTATACCTTATTTCAATAATAGAAAGTTGACAACTTATGCAAAATTTTCTATGTTATTTTGTATTCTACTTATTAGAATTTTTTTATTTTAGAATTAAGGTGCACTTAAAAAATCCATCGGAAAAAAGCTATTTTGATATTGAAAAACCTTTTAATTGATCGTCTCGTCATTGAGATGTACGAATATAAAAAAAAATGATTTTTAGTCCCAAAAATAGTATATCTTACTACACATTATCTGAACCTTCTATTTTTAAGATATTTAGGTATTTATAGATCTACTTGATTTGAACCATTTTGGAAAAAATGATTTTATGTTCCAAAAATAGTACATCGTACTACGTTATCTGAACCTTCTATTTTTCAAATTTTGATGTATTTAGAGATCTACTTTATTTGAACCATTTTGGAGTTTAAAATTTTATAATTAGAGATGAAAATATATTTTCATGTTATCTTAAGAATATTCTACATTAAAATTAAATCTTAAGTTAAAATTAGAACATTAGGCAAACCACACCTTTATTTATATTTTTGATGGATTTTTGGGTGGACTAGTGGTGTAAATGTCTTTGTCCCAAACTTTGAGCATTTCAAAATTTACCTAATCAGCCTGGACTTAGGAAGGAAGGGACAATGGAGAATTTTCATTTGTGTCAAATACACGTATGCCTTGACTATTAGAAATAGAAAACATTGATATTTTTATTGTCGTTTTTTCTGGTAAGTATACTTTATTGTCCTATGCTTTTATAGTTCATTGATATTTTCACCCAGCCTGAGTGTGACCATTTTTTTTTTTAAGAACATCTCCATCTTTGCCAAAAAAAAATGAACTACCGGAAGGTCCCAATCATCCACGTTTATAATATTTTAATATTTTAAAAAGAAAAAGTAGAGCATCCACATTATAATATTTAAAAAAAAATGTATATCTAAACAAAGATTTTCATAGACTTCCTCGGTTCATTTATCAAAAGAAAAAGTTTGTATAAGATTGTAGGAATTTATATTAATTTTATTTAGATGGTTTAGATTTTACATTAATAGAGATTTATCAAATTATTCATGACAGATGAGCAATTTAACACCTTATCTGTATATTTTGATTTAATTTCAAAATACCCATAGAAAGACACATGATCTTCAATCGGAATAAGTTGTAAATGGGTAGAATGTAAATAATTCATCTCATATGAGTATTTTGATAATTTTTCTTATTTTAAAATATGTGTTATTTTTTGACATTCAGATATATCAAATATATACATTTCAACTAAAATAAATGGCGTAAAACACTGGAATATTATATGCAAGGTCGTTATTTTTTACAAGCCATACCCTTTTTTCGAAAGAAATACCATATTCTTTTGCTCTGGGCAATTGCGTCATCACCATCCATCTCCCCCTATTACACATAAAAGCTAGGGTTGCAAAATGGGTTGGCCCAGCCTAGCTGATGGTCTTGGTCAGTAGATGGTTTATGTTTGGCCTGATTTCAGGTTCAACGATCAATGCTCGAGGTTCTATGTCTAGCCAAGAATTATCATGGACGAGTCAGGTCGACCTAAATTACACACACATTTGCTCATAACTCCAACCATTTGATCTTGATCACAAAATCTACACCTAAACAAAATATAGAATGTGCAATTTATATTATGAGACCATTCACTTTTGTTATGGTCACAATTAATTTTAGCCGTTGGATGTGAAATTAAATAGATTGAATTGTGTCATGACATTCAATAATATTTGCCCTATTTCATGTCTATTGTTCAATAACAATTGTGACCTCTATGTCATCAAAAGTAAATAGTTTTATTATATATATTTTTATAAAATATATTTTATTTTTATTTTCTAGTTCCACGGCCTTAAATTTTGGCTATCTAATTAATTCATAAAAATAAAATAAAATTTATATACTAGCACGTATTTCCAACCATTTGATTGTTTAGAGACTCAGCCTTATATAAACTTTTTCTTATATATAATGTATTTTAACATATTCCAATGGCTCCACATTTGGGAAAAGTTTTATATTGACGTGAGGCTCTAAGCAATCAAATTCGAGCCTATCTTAAAAATTTCACTAGAAAAAGTTGTTTGGATGCCTAAATATCTTCAAATTGATCATCTCAACATGAAGATGCATGGACATGAGATAACAAAAGATTTCAAGTTTTGAACATAGTGTATTTTGTAACATATTTTGGTACCATTAATTTTTAAAATTTTCAAGTTTTCATGGATCTCTCGCTTTACACTATTTTTTAAATTTTAAACTTTATAAATAAAGCTAAAAATATATTTTAAAACTATCTAAAAGAAGATATCCGGTATTGAAACTACATTTTTTTTCGGTACTATTTTGTTTTGGGCAATATATTTAGAAGGCTTTATCAATTTTTTATTATTATTGGGACTTAACTTTTCTCCAATAATTTGGGCGGCCAATCAATTGCAACCGTTTCAGTATTTAATGGCCCACTATCGTTGGTCGACTAAACACTTTTGTGTCTTTGACTTGGATACTCTCCTCCGGATGCAGTTTTCGCAATAGGAGATCCTTGAATTTCTCGATGAGAGAGAGAGGATGGATTCTAAGCCCTCTCTGTCTGAAGGAATCAAAAGAATCTAGAGAGAGAGAGAGAGAGAGTTGGGTTTCAACGTACAAGAGAGAAGAGGAATTAAGAGAGAGAGAGAGAGAGTAGTTGGTTACAACGTACAGAGAGAGAGAGTATACGAGAGAGAGAGAGAGAGAGTTGGGTTTCAAAGTACCAGAGAGAGGAGGAAGATTGAAGAAAGTATAACAAAATAAGAACAAAGAAGAAAATAATTGTGTTTAAGTTATTGTTTGTGTTAGAGGATAGCGCAGTGTTGATTGGTTTACTATTCTGAAGTGGAAAAGAAGTAGTTGGGAGTTTGAGAGAGAAAAAGATTGTGACCCTTCTCTTCACTCTTCGGTGAGAGGTGAGAGAGAACCAGAGAATTTGAGGCTTTTTGTTGGCTCTTTTTTCTAGAGAGAGAGAGGATCTTTTTCTAGAGAGAGGATGTATGTTGTGGAGGACAAAGGGGGAGCAATTGCTCTCATGTTTGCTGCTCTGTTTTTCTTGGGTACATGGCCTTTTGTGTTGGCCTTGTTAGAGAGAAGGGGGAGATTACCCCAACACACGTACCTTGATTACTCAATAACCAATCTCTTGGCAGCCATTATCATTGCTTTCACTTTTGGTGAGATTGGTAGAAGTAAACCTGGAGAGCCCAATTTCTTAACTCAACTTTCACAGGTTAGTGGCTTCTTTTTTTTTTTCTGAGTGGTAGCTTAAATTTATTCTTTTTTGTTTCTTGGTTTGTGATTTTTTGATTTGGGTTCTTTTTTGGATCAATTGAGACCGAGGATGATGAAGAGAAAGAGGTTTGGGTCAACGAATGTACAGAGCAATCGATGTTCATGTGAAAGTCCTGGAGGATTTTATGGACATGGACAGTGTATGCAAAAGTATACAATGGGACCATTTATCTTTGTACATGGTAGTCACAATTAATCTTAATAGATATGAAATTGGGTAGCTGTATTTATTTCATTAACCCAAGCTCAAAGTTGAAAAGAAATTTTCTGAAACTTTATGACAGACCTATCATATTTTACATCGGATAATTATAGGTAATTATGATCTCTTTGTATCAAAGGTAAACAATCTCATTGTATACAATCCCATAAACAAGAGAGGGAAAGCTTTCTATGTCACTCAATCACATATAATTATATGGGGCCGTACTTCTCCGTAGTTTGATTTGAATTGATATCTAGAATTGCTTGTCACAACATCCGTCAAAATTATATTTGATTTTTATTTTATTTTTTATGCAAAACCTTTTTGATTGAAATTTAGGGCCTTCCATCTCCTTCTTAGGGCGCCCTAAGCCTTAAAAAATAGGAAAAATATGTTTTATTGAATAAAAAACCAAAATGCCTCTGTAAGTTTCGGGGGTATTGAAGATTTTTTTATCATGTGCACCCTGGCGGATGTATGCATTCCGCATTTTGCTGCAAAATGATTTATAGATAAAAAATAAAAATAGAACACTTTTAACTGCACTCATGCACTCAAGAGCACATTGTGCCTCAAGCCATCTCATCCATCCACTCAACGGCTGAGTTCAAGGTTCGGTGGAATCTCATGGAAAGCTTTCCCTATAACATTTAGCTCGCATAACTGTAGGTTTGGTTTGTGAGTCTTAAGTACCTAAGATCAGGTACAGTCAACAGAGCTGTCAAACATATTTACATTTTTTATGCATATATTTTATTTGTGATGTATTTATGTATATGCATGTGTATGAATATGAATATGTTAATCATAGGATTTACAACTAATGAATCAAATTGATTCTTATAGATATCTTTTGATGCTAGCTGGTACTTCAATGAAAATGCAGAACATGTATCAGCATTTTGACGATATTCGAAGTTTTATCAATTCTAAGTAAAGAACATATAGTCTTCATATCAACTTATAAAAAGCACACTCAATCTATGTGTTCTAAAACGTAACAATTGTTATGATTTAGTTCCTCATACATGTCGAGAGACATGAGCATGAGTTAGAGCTACTTTATTTGAATCATCGTAAATTCTTAACATAATTTATAAGAAACAACGATCTTAACTTTGTACTTTCTAATGGCTATGCCATGCAATGCAGGACAATTGGCCTTCTGTTTGCTTCGCAATGGCTGGTGGTTTAGTTCTCAGTATTGGGAACCTTTCTACTCAATATGCTTGGGCCTACGTTGGTCTTTCGGTTACAGAAGTGGTTTCGAGCTGCATTACAGTGGTTGTCGGTATAAATCGTTAAATCTTAATTGATGTTTTGTTCTTCTAATTTCCTTACTAGATGATTGGATGAGTTCAAGGTATAAACTATCTTTTGCGAAATCGTTAGGATTTCTCCAATAAAGTCATTGCTAATGATCTTTTTCTGCTCTTTAGCCTCCACAAGCTCAGGGTTTCCTGTTTCTTTGCATTACCCATGGTGCATGGACTGTCTTGTTTCTTTGAAAATAATGCTTACCTCCCTCAAAAGCTGGGGGAACCTTCTCGTTTCTTTTCAACTATCTCCGACACCGAAATAAAGTTCGGAGGTTTCTTGTATCCTTGCATGTACTCTCATTCCCCCCTCGAAGGCTTGGAACCTCTCTCTCTCTCTCTCTCTCGTATGACGAACGGGTACCTAGTGAAGAAGTAGGTAACCTTACGACGAACTAACTCTAGTTAGGTTAACGGACCTACCCCTACCACAACCAAACCCTACCC